CCTCAGCTCACACCTTCTTCTCATCCCCCCTGAGCAGTAAGGAATCAACTTGCTATCTGCTTGTCATCCAGGGCCACAGAGGATCCAGGCATCACACTTTGATTTGAAAGATGCCAACACACACACACACACACACACACACACACACACACACACACACACACACCACACACACACACACACTTACTTCTCACTGATAAACTGTTGCAAAAGCCAAATATTCAGCCTAAGCCCTTGAACAAATAGCTGTTCTTCCTGTTTCCTGGACAGAAGTCTCTTTGACTGGTCCTTCATAATTCCCGACATCCAACTCCTCCTACTCGAAATCATGGGGGGGAATCTGTGATTCACTTTTCTTTCTTCCTCTCATTTTCTCCCTTCATGGCCTTCCCAAACAGGCTACAGTCTTAACTCATCATTTTGTTTTCTTTTAGTCAAGTGCCTCTCTAACAACATTATTCTTATAAATTAATATTTAGAGTCACTGTAAAGAAGGAAATGCTTGTAATTATGACAGAAGTAAAAGAAATCATAGGATCTTTAGACTTCATGATCCAGGGCTCTCTCTAATCTCCAGACCAATCTTTATGATCTGTAGTCATAAATGATGGTTGTATACTCTCCTTTATTTTCTGTCTATTCAGGAAGGTTGAAGGTTACTTATAAAATGTGACTAGTACAACAGACGACAAACAAAGGCAATCATCAAGTGGAAACCAAGGGTAGACAAAATAATAAACTGAGGTTAAAAAATTACAAGTGTACCCCTTGGGATCTGAGCAGTAGCTGTAGTTACAAGCCACCAAAACAGCGATAGCAGGAAGCACATTGACTTACAAAACTCAAAATACCCACAAGATTACAAAAGAAATGAGTTGCTCAAGTAGTGGTGTAGCTATTTGTGTCATCGATGAATTTCTTCAGGTACCTGGTGTGAGAACCCAGTTGATGAACAGGCGGCAGCAGCCGCCCCCAAATGGACACACAGTCATGAGATCCTCAAGCCACTTTTTACAGTTCCTGTACTTAAGACTGTTTGTGTGACTGCACTGAAGGTCTCTGACAGTAACCGGAAGGGCCACAGAAGCAGCAAAGAGTGCATTTTCAGAGAGCTCCTAAAACCTAAAGGGAAAACCTAGATCTTGAAAAGGGGGGCATCCCGTTCAGGAAATCCTCCATCAACACCCCTTCTTTCAACTGAGCATTTACGTTTAGCAAAGCAGAGCTGTGCTGTCAGCTTACAGCACATTCATTTGCTGCAGTAGACAAACTACAGACAGAGTAATGTTTTGTAAAATTTAAGGAAACTGAAAATATTTGTGGATTTATCCAAGGTATTTTTTCCTTAGAAAACTAGCAATTACTAGAAAAACTCTACCTAATGCAGTCATTTTAACCAGAGAAAAGCAGACACCCCCCAAAAACCTCAAACTGTGTCAGCTGAAGCAAGGAAAGTGCCTTGTGGTGGCTGACAGACAAGATGTTGCAATGTCTTGGGAAGGCTGTTTGGTTGGCTCGGCTGCGCAGTGCTGGAAGTTGGTTAAGTGCTGGAGGCAGCCCTAACCCTAACAGTTTTACAGGTATTGTTGCAACTTGGTTTAACTCCACTGAAACTGTTGTTCACAATTCATAGTTCCTTCTCCAAGCAAACGTACATAAACCAAGGTCCCTGGGCCTGCTTTCATGTTTTGTGTTTGCTTTAATAAATCATAGGATGCCACGGCCAGTGGGTCCAAAATTAGTATCCAGTTATTAAAGAGCAATTTAACCTCAGGAAGAAATGAGCTGCTAATATAGTTATATTTTCCTGTTTCCTTGCCTTTCGAGAGATCATTTTCATGAATTCTAAGTCTCACGGTGGCTTTGAATTTCAGCTAGGTGTTTGTACAAATAATCCAAAAAGATGAAACTGAGTTCATATCACATAGCTCACTGCAGATATCTGAGGACTTTTCAGGGTGTCATATGACAAGGCTGGGAAGATGCAGCAACACGCACATCTACTCACCCCAGATAGGGAGGCCACTACAGGCCAAAGTACCATGGAAGTCCAATCTGGTGAAGCAGTGAGTTGTACTGGGGTTACTTACAGGAATATGGATGAAAGAATACTTACAGAAGCAGAAATAACTCAAAGTCAGCTGCATCACCAAAGCCCACCCCAGTATGTTATACAAACATATGGGCTGTAATAACCCTGTCTCAAACAAGGTAGGAAGGCAAGGACACACCTGAGATGTCCATGTGAGCCCACCTCACCCTCCAGAAATGGAAAACAGGAAGTCTTGTTCTCTAAGTAGTTTCCTCTGACATTGTCCTGGAAGAGGTGTCTGGCTGATTACAGCCGCATCACGTTCACAAATGGCACCTTCTCTCTGGCCGTGAGGGCTGGGCCTCTGTATATGTGACATGGAGGGTTTGAGAACTCACATCCAGAGGTCAGAGGACAGCTCTCCAATGTGATGAAACTGAGAAGTGAAAGACTTGTATGACTTTAAGACATTGAGGAAAGAAATTAAAGAAGATGACAGAAGATGAAAATATTCTCCCATACTCAAGAATTGGTAGGATTAATATAATAAAAATGAACAGCCTATAAAATATCATTTGATTCTATCCTTTTTCAGCCTGATAAAATTTGTAAGGCTTCTGATATTACTAGGAAAACAGTCTCACAGAAAACTTCCCAATCCTTTGGTTTTTACATTCTTCTCCCTCTCTTCTGCAATGTTCCCTGAGCCTTACCCATAAAGCCTCGACAGGACTGTCTACATGTTAGCTGAACAAGAATAACACCCATGAACACGAGAAACTGAATGGGGAAAAATCCCTGAGGGCTGAATTCTACACAAAGAAACACAGGCAACTGAGGAAAGCTGGGAGGGGTAATCGTGGTCATCCCCAGGGAAGAACACACCAATTGGTTGTCCTGTACCAAACAGTCATTTCTGAAAACAAACATACAAGTAACATTATCCTGACTTAACAGTTAATATTTAAAATATATATGTATATACATATACATACATGAGTGGAATAACACTTAGTGAAAAAAGTGGCTATGAATGTTAAGAAGAGTGGTGAGGGGTATATGGGAGGAATGAAATGGGAGAAATGTTGGAATTAAATTATAATGTCAAATATTAAAAATAGTAGAGGATAAATGATATCTCCATTAAATTAAGTGTGTCCAGACTTCATGACAATATTCTCTTATAATAAGTGGCAGTTATCAAAATGATCATTTAGTTGTCCAATCCACATCTATGTATCATGGCTGTGGACCATAAATGGACTGTAACTTCGGTGGTCAGTGTCTGAATTCCTACTTTTCTCCACACATACCCTTTTATTAAACAGATATTCTTGAATTTACAATAATATAATTTCTGAGATTAGCTAATATCTGAGAATTTATTTTTTTCAACAAGTATTTAGTGAGTTTGACAGCAAGTTTGATATGTCTGGGTACACATTGAGAAATATTATCTACATTTCACATTCTAATAAAACTTACATTTTTATCATGGGTGATAGAAATTTGTTATATATACACATATACGTGTATGTATATACATATAAACAAAAATATTTGAGAGCTGGTAGTAATATTTTTGTATTTTATTTTATTAATTTTATACAAAAGTACTGTTTTCATCATTTCCTCCCCACCATCTCCCCCTCTAGGACACACACACAAAGTTGGATGGATTGCTATTTACATAATAACTTAAATTCTAGTTGTGTTGAAGATTCTGTTACTTATGACTCAAAAAAGCTAATTTCCCTATCTCTAAAATTATGTTAAAAACTTACCAAATGAAATGTTCTATGCAAAGTGCTTAACAATGGACCTCACACTTCAGAAAAGGTCTAATCACTGGAAGAATTATATGCCAGTCCATGGTGTGTCTGAGTGCAGATGATGATGATGATGATGATGATGATGATGATGATGATGATGTTGCTGCCGCTGCCACTGCTGCTGCTGCTGCTGCTGCTGATGGTGATGATGATGATGATGATGATGATGATGATGATGAAGCTGGTGATTTTTTTGATGATGATAATTTTGATAATAATTCTGATAATCATGAAGATAATGACCATCATGATCTAACAATTCGAGGCTCACCTTCTGAGAACATCTCTGAATTATCTGAGGATTTCAAAGCCCTGTTTATTCAGCAACATTTCCTGCTGCTGGAAACAGTACCGGACCCTCCCTGCTGTTGGAGACACTGGCTCTCCAATCCCTGTTGGTGGTGAAAGTGGCTTTATCAGAAGGGTCAGGTTTCTCTTTCCTGGCAACAGAACATTAAGAACTCTGTGTTTGTATCTCTACAGCCATGTGCTCCTTGTTCAACCTCTGAGCTGTCTGCTTTGTAATTTCAGATTCCCGGGCTGTATCAATTCCATTTACCTTTATGCTTGTGTGATCACCATGCACTGACTTTCAAAGGGATAAAAAGTATCTGGCAAAAGTGGTATCGATGAGTATCTCAGGTAAATTCTGTGAAATAATTAGTGGTGATCTTTCAAAAACTATTAAACTACACCTACTCGATGAAGTTGTAAGGAGGCTGGAGATACTAACAAAACAAATAAGTACTCATGTTAACTATTTGAAACTTTGAGCTCAGAGACTGGAAATACTTCCCTTATGAACTCATTCAAGCATAAAATATAAGATTGTCTTCAGTTAGGAATACCAAGATATTACTTTTGCTTCAGTTAAGAATAGCAAAATATTACTTTTGCAAACAGTATTGTCAGAGCTACTGAACTAAGTATGAAACTTGAAGGAATTACAGATAAATACAGTTTGAGAAATCCGTTCATGTGATGGGAGTTCCGAAGAAAAGACCAATAAAGTGGTTCCAGTGGCTCTGCCACATAACTGCACATCCTGAGTAACTGAGGCAGAGGAGAAGACTGCCAGACGGCATCCTCCAAAGACTATGGAGAATCATGAAACAGACACACTGCAGTCTAAGCAATCAAGTTATTGGATGACATTTACTATAACAGTAAAGAATATGTAACATACAGCATAAAATATAGCAAGTGAAACTATTTGTAACAAATATGATAAAATAGAAGAACAGAAGGAATGTCATATAATAAGGTTTTCTAAACTATGGGTAAGTGTGAGGTAGAAGGAAACCCTCAAATAAAATGAGTTGGAACCTGAGAAGTTCTTACTCATGGCTCAAATTCATACTCTAAAAATATCACTTTGGGTTTCTCTATTGGTTGATGGTGGCACGTTCAATATCATTTAAAGGAATTCTCATTTCTGGACAAAACCAGAAGATTCAAACAAATTCTGTTAAATGTTGTAAGTGGTTTCCAAAACTAGTTTTCAGTGGAATAATATAGAAAGTGAAGGATGTAGCCCAATGGAGTTCTGGAGACTCATGTCTCCAGTTACTAAGAAAATCATGGGCAGAAAGATAGCTTGGCCGATCCAGATGCTGACTCAATCATCATCCTCCAGTTTTTGGTTCTGTAGAACACTATGACCTTCGATGGTACTGGATTCAGAAGTTGTTCCATTGCTCACTGCTAAATGAAACATAAGATTGTTAGATTTTAGAGTCACATCAATTCAAATAAAATGAGTTTTTCTGTGTATTTCCTCAAATCAATGAGACAAATACCATCAAGCCAAGAAAATCACCTGTGAATCTCATCTCAACTCTACACAGTAAATTACCTGTGTTCACACTCTACCTGATTTTGAATGGCTGTAACTGTTGATTGTGGTAAATTTTAGCCTCTTGATCATTCTTCACATATCTATTGTAGTGATTCTCTGTCATTTAATTATTTACACCAATGCTAAATAAGTATTTGATAAGATTGATCTCTGTTATGAAATCAAGCCAAGAATATTGTTTATGCACAAGGATAGCAGAGTTCATAGACAGTAGTCCTGAGGGATTTATCTTCCAGAATGTTTGATGAATTTTAAATCAAGTTATTGTAAATGATGTTTTCAAAACTAAACTAGCTTAACATGCACATATCCACTTTTCTCACTAAATAGCCAAGAATAGTTAGGTTTAACTAGTTCAGGAAACACTACCATGAACTTTCATATTCATGGTTCAGTAAAGGTTAACTCATTTCAATGTTTCCTGATCTATAAAAGGTCAAGCATGGGTTGAAGCACTAAGGATAGAAAAATGAGAAATGGAAAAATCTCACATCTCCTGTACCTTTAATGGGCTATGAGTGCACAGGACTGCCTTAGTAGTCACTGGTCTTCACTTTCTTCCCCATTGTGTGGTCTCAACTTTCTGGCATTGAGAGCAAGTCACACCTGGCAACCTCTGGGGTCAAGAAGGGATCAAGGGGTACGTTTACATGATGTTACGATCCTTGCCTACACTCAGGGCATTATCTCTCCCCTTGATGTCTGGTGCCAATGCTCCAGAGTCTACTGAGTGGTGAACTCAGAACAAGGCTCAGTTAAAATAAACCAATAGTATTTGCCCTAGAGCTATTGCTTATAGACAGCTCCATGGCAAGTTCAATGTGGTAGACTCTTCATGAGTAGCTTAGGCTAATTCTTGATTATCTGACACAGGATTAGGTTGGCAATGTCTGATAAATGTGAAAGTACTTATTTTTTGGTAGAGATGAAAACAATTTCATGTCTGTACTTGGCAATGTCCAACTCTCTGTGAACCTATTACAGGTCATTGGTGGACTATCCACTGTGTTATAATTGAAGGATATATTTGTAAATCACTTTTCCCACTATTGCTACTTGTTTTGTTTTTCCTCACATGGTGTGGTCAGAGGTGAAATCAGTGGAGTCCTTTGCAATGGCAAACCAAAGCACACCTAACATATGGGGAAGTCACTTCTAACAGAAGACTCTTCAACTGTGTCTTTGTGAAAAATCCTTTAGCTTGTCAGACTTTTATCTACCAGGCCTCTTATCCTTAGGTCATTGTGTGAAAGAAACTATCATCAGTTTATCTCAGGGAAGGAAAGTACTTATGCATCTCTAGAGAGATGCTGAGTGGGGAGGATGCTAAACTTTCTTTACCTTTAAGACAGATGCAACAACAAGGACAGATTCTTCAGTCAAGTTGACTTCCTCCCCATCATCAAGCTTTTCTTTAAGGGTTTGGAAGGATTTGTTGGCCATTGTTCTGAAGATCTTCTCCGTATGTAGTCCCTTTTCCTCAATAATAGAGAGCATATCCTGTGTGAGGTAAAGAAAAGCTTCTGTTATTATAGATCCATGCTTTTGAAGCACCAGTGTGTCTCTTACTGAGAACCAGAGCAAGGGTAGGCACGGGTGCAGAGCTACACCTGGGAGGAAGGAAGATTTTGAATTTTTTCTTTCATTTTTTGTTTCTTTTTATAGCTTCTAGATATATCTTCTCCCCTAATTACTTTTCCTAATTTGAAACACTGGAATTTGTTGGAATCAGTTATTCCTTGGCACTGACTCACACTTCTGTCCCCAAGTGTTTTGGTGAATGGTCCCCTCTTACTCTTGCCTTCTCTTCTATGAACATCTTTCCCACGCCTGTCTTTCTCAGTTACTATTGGTATATTTCCCTTCCAGTGTCCCAGCCGTTATTATTACTTCCTGTCTGTCCTGGGCCCTGTAATGAGTTTTGAAATCTGTGTTTTTAAGAAAGCTTTATCTCATTATACTTCCTTTGACAGAGATTTTCATTTCCTTTGTCTGCGACTTTTCTTTTCAGCTATTAATGTCATAAGGTGCTGTCACAGCCAAGGACCCAAGGGAATATCAATTTGTCTTCCATGTTTTCAGTATGTAAAAATGACTACCATACATAACCTTTACTGAATATTTTCTCTATTTTCAAATTTGGGATGATCATAATCATGGTTACCAGAAAATTTTGTAAAATACACAAGGCATGGACAGTAATTATCGTGTCTCTGACACAACAAACTTGTTCATATGCAGCATAAATTCCTGAAACTGAGTATAGAGCTAAAATGGATGCCGCATACTTAATGTTTATTTTCAATGGCAATTTAGTAACATTTAAAATAGCTCGTGTCATATTGGGTGGCTTGTAAATACATTCTACTAGAATGAAAGGGTTAATACATAGCACAGAACAATGCTTATACATAATTCCTTTACAATACAAAAGAAAGCACTCTAGATATTTTGGATTATAAAGTGGAATAATCTCAGTGGCAATGATACTAAGGAAGAATCCAGAGTAAAACAGAGTCATGAAAGAAGCTGGAAGAGTTGAGGTTTGGGGACTCAGAGGGTCTCACCCATAGACCTGTTTCCTCCAATAAGCTGGTGGGTTTGGGTCTTTGTGGAAAATAGTGGAAGACGTAGAAACACTGTAGGTTTTTGTTTTGTTTTGTTTTGTTTTGTTTTTTCAGTTTTCTTGAATTACATGGCTCTAACTTCAGCAGGATGGATTTCTTTGAGGCAGTATTTTAAAAGGATCTCACTCTCATGGACAGGTTATCTAAACATTCATTAGTCTTACAATTCACTGAAAACAGAGGTTCCCAGAAATTATGTTGAACAGGAGAGCTGTAGACACCCAGAGTGAAACTCACCAGTACTGGAGTAGGCAGACTGCCATCCTCACACACACTCAGGAGAGACATCCCAAAGAGGTGTCTCTTGATGGGTGGTGATGGGTGTCAGGATTTACAATGAGTTGTTCCTCACTTGTTGGTGATTGGGTGTCAATTTCCAACGAGGAGTTCCTTGTTTGGTGCTGGTGGGTTATCAGAATTTCCAGTGGGGTGTTCCTCATATGTCTTGGCTGATATCAGAGCCCCATGTAATCATTGGATTTATTAAAGACATTTTGACATGTTCCTCAGAATATAAAAAAGGGAAATCACTGTATGTTATAATTGGACTCACTTAACCCTTCCATAGCTTTTCATTTTATAGCTTACATACCTTCTGCATCACCATAATACATAGACAAGAACCAATAATATAACATTTATAATAATAAGACTGCATCCCGAGGGACGATATCTAGTTGTATATGGCCCATACTTGTAGGTATAATCAGTAGTTTCTGGTGTTTGTCTTGAAAGCTATGCATATAGATAATATTGATCAGCAATCAGAATCAAGCAGTGATGTAGTATACAGTCTGAGTACTCCTGTGTAAACTCTTGGTGGGACAGTCATGGGCAATAATCGGGACTATCGGGGGTACAGTCCCTCAATAGCCCTCTTCCAGGGTCCAGGAAGAATCTACAAATAGCTGATAATCTAATCGTTGACAATATTAAAGGAATCTATACACATAAAACTCTTTAGTCCATATGCTTCATTTTTCTGAGTTAGTTCTCTCTCTACATAGCTTCTTTTCTGTTCTTATACTTAGCTCCTCTCTGTTCCTTCTCTTCCTGTCCTGTCATTGTCCTAGTTCCTACTAAGGTCTTTCCATCTCAACCTCATCTTCTTCTCTGTTCGTTCCTCTGTCCATCTTTCTCACTTCCTCTCCTGCCCTCAAGACCGGACTCAATCCACCTACACTCTGCAAAAACTCTGCTTTGTTGCTATCTCCTCAGGCCATGTCACTTTGCTAGGAATCTTGCCTCAATTGCTTCCCCCCCACCTGGTATACAAAAAACCCCTTTGTCCTGAGTCTGGAATGCCACTTGGCCTGTGAGAGGAAGGGGGGGTGGTGGTCTGAGCTTCATTTGCACAAGAAATAAAGCTATGCACCTAGCCTGTCTCCAAGGTGGTATCTCTGGAAGGGTGTTTATCTTAATTCAGGAGACCATTTGCCATTACAGCCTAGGATGCTTGAGAAGAAATTTAGGAAAAATACACTGTTGAAAGTCCTTGGGAAGTTATGAGTGCATATGAAATTAATATCAGAAGACAGCTGATATATTAAAAGTCAAATAACACCAAATATTCCTTGAGATTTGGCTTAATCCTCTCAAAGGCCCTTAGCTTCTTCCAGATATTAGCTTTTCCATAGTCAGCTGAATTCCTACTACATTCCTGTGGCTTGCAACAGGGAAACTATAATTTAAGAGCAGTATCTGCACTTTATCTCATAACCTGCCTGAAGGAAAGAGGCAGGGATGAAGGGTTCACCCCGTGGTCGGGTGTGTTTGCATATACCTGGTGGATACTTCCGCCTAGCCAGTTCCAGGTCAAGATAGCCATTTCCGGGTCAAGGTGTCTCGCGTGACCAGGATCCGTGACGTGACGTTGCATAGCTACATAGGTGCACAACGCAGCCATGTGATCTACGCACATGCGTGGAGTAGTGACGTGACCTGTGCACGCCCAGCCTTTAAAATCCAGCACCATATTCCCAGTTCCTTCTTCTCCATACAAATGTCTCTCCCATAGGCCTGCACACTCTCTGTCCCTTTATCTTTAATAAAACTCTTATTAGCAGATTCTGTCATGTTTTGTGACATTTTCTTGCAGGGTAAGAGCACAACACAGCCACTGCCTGACTGTATTTCTCTGACAGTCTTTAGCTTTTCTCCCTTGAACTATGAAATCAAATCCGACAGCATAGCATAATTTTCCCCTATGGGTATATATGCTATATGAAGACTTCCAAAAGAACATGCATGGTGGTGCACACCTTTAATCCCAGGTCTCAGGAGGTAGAGCCAAAAGGATCTCTGTGAGTTTGTGACCACCCTGCTCTACAAAGCTAGTTCCAAGACAGTCAGGGCTGTTAAAGAGAGAAACCCTGACTGGCAAAATTGAATGGCTATTCTGAGTATTATAAAAATCAGTCAGGAGTCAAGATATCAAGGTAAGTGACATTTCTCCACATATTCCTAACTAATTGTATACGTGGCACTTCTAGAATTTACTTCTTACATAAATTCAGGACCACTGTGAAGAAGGAATAACAATTCACAGGCAGTGAAAACAGAAAAACACCTATAATGTATAGGTGAAGTTTCACTTCCAAATGGTTTTAGTATACTCCCAATCGCTGTGCTCTGGGATGTCTTTCTGTATGCTGTGAATATGTGTTGCTCTCATTGGTTGATAAATAAAGCTGTTTGGCCAATGATGAGGCAGAATAAGGTGAAGCAGTACATTTGAACTGGAGAGAGAGGAGGAGAAAAGGAGAGTGGGGAAGACACTGTGAGCCACCACCAGGAGAAGCGAGATGTGAAAGTAATGGTAAGCCACAATGGTACATGCCAATGTATAGGTCATTAGAAATGGGCTGAGTTAAGCTGTAAGAGCTAGCTAGCTAGCGAGAAGCCCGAACCATTAGGCCATACAGTTTGTAAATAATATAAGCCTCTGTGTGTTTGCTTGGGACATGGGTGGGAGAGATTCATCCAGGCTGTGGGGCCAGGCAGGACTAGAGAAGCTTCCAGTTACACATCTGTTTGTTGTAAATGATGTTTTTGGGTGCTAAATGTGTCTAACTCATAGGTTAAGGTAATACATCATCTATACTTACCTATAGTTCCCTTACTGTGGAGAGGAGCAGTTGGACTTCTGGGCACTACATCATTGCCTGTGGGGCTTGTCCTCCCACTGGGACAGGGGTTGTCTTCTTGTTCTTCTTCCTCTGTCTCAACACTGTTGGTGGTTGGAGTATTCAGGGAATTGTAAGCCTTCTCCCCATCAGAGCAAAGCAATGAGCTCTCATAATGAGCTCTCATAAATGAGCTCTTCTCCAAATATTTTTGGATAATTCTCAATAAGGAATTTGACGAGAGAAACCTGAGACAAAACAAGGCAAACACAAAGGGTCTCTGTCATTTTGCATGGTTGTAAATCACATTTGATATATGAGCCTTGAGGCTAAAAGTATGTAGTTCAAAATTCAGAGAAAAGGTCAGCTTCTATAAAATATGGGGGGGGTCCTGTTAGAAATATGAAAGAAGATTTTTGAGGTCAGATAATAAAATGTGATCATCACAGTGCAATACTACATAAGAGGATGATTTCTAATGCTCCCAATGTGATGGCCATTATATACTGTTAACTTGAAAAACTTTTGTTCCAATTGGAACAGACAAGGATGCTTACAGAAAGGTACAGTTAAGGAGGGAAGACTAACCCTCAATGTGGGCTCCATCCTATTGAAAGTTCCTACTGGGTGACTAAAAATGAAGAGACAGGCAAAGCCAACTGAGCAAGAGCGTTCATGTGTCTCTGATTGCTCAGTGCAGAAGCAATGTTAACAGCTCAACAAACAGGTTCATTATTATAAGTAACTTTGTAACTCTGTAGCCTTGGTCCTGGGTTTCAGCACCAAAATATAAGTAACTCAGGTGCAATTCTGGGGGTTTGCTTGGGGCTGCTAGGACAGCTGAAGGCTGGAGCTGCAAAGAGACAGCTCAGCCCTGGAGGGTTCAGTATCCTGGACACCTCCAGCTGCATAGAACAGCTCTGCCCAGGAGATGTCCCAGACACCTCGAGCTGCTTAGGAGCCCAGGGCCAGGGTGCTACTTTCCTGTCTGTGATTGGTTGGTTCCACAGGTCAGTTGGCTAGGGACAGAGATGGCCCTGATCTGAGCCTGAGTTTCCTTCACTGGCCTTTCTTAGCTTTCTGACACTAATTCCAAGGCCAGGGTACATTTCTTTCACTGACTCTGATTCTAGGGACCAGGAATGTTTATTTGGTACTGATTTCAGAGTCAAGGCATGTTTCCTTGGTTCTGGGTTTGGGAATAAAGTGTTCATTTATCTGGCTCAGGTCCCAAACCCAGGCTGTGCTTTTTTCCCTGGTCCTGAGCTCCAGGGTCAGGGTGCTACTTTCCTGCTCTGTGATTGGTTGGTTTCACAGGTCAGTTATCCAGGAGCAGAGATGACTCTGATCTGAGTCTAACTGTATTTCTTTCTGCCCTGATCTGATCCATCTTTCCCTAGTTCTGGGCTCCAGGGTCAGGGTGGGTTTCTTTAGGCAGCCCCCTTTTCCCTACAATTATATTGGGAAATATTTGGAGTAAGGCCTATTTGCAGTGAAGTGGGTAATTGTGGATCTGAAATGACAGGTTGTTTGGAACCCTAGCTTTCTCTTCTGTTTGTTGATTCTACACAATATGAGGAAAGCTGTCCTGAGTCAGGTCTTCCTGTGATATACTTCTTACAGGACCAAGAGCAATTGTTCAATCAATAGTTAATCAGAAACCCAAATACTGAGAGTCATAAATTGTGATATTTTATTATAGTATTTGAAATGTGTTTGCCATAGTAAAGTGTCTCTAATCCAACCATAATCAGCAACAAGAGGCCAAGGATATATTTAATCACACTAACCTTTCCTCAGAACAACATATCTGATAAAACAATCCATATCGTTTTTGTTTAGTTGGGAAACCACCTTGAAAACAAGTAGAAATTCACACATTCCTCAGTGATGACATCAAGGGTTCAGTCTTGATTTTCTAACCCACACCTGCGTTTTCTTATCATTTCACAATGTTAGCTCTCAGTGGGTTAGTCAACATTCTAAATCGCAATTGACAAAGGACTGAGTTACTGAGCTCAAATAGCCATTTAAATTTTACTTACTCAAAATCCACAAATGATTCTTCCTCTCCAGATGAATGAAAATCAAGGGTGCACTCATTTCAAAAACAAAAACAAAATAAAATAAAATAAAATAAACCCCAGAGTCTCGGAATAATCCTGTGTTCCTGTCTCATTGTGAAGACTTGTTTACTCTAGGCATAAAACATATGTCTCATTACCTTTTTGGTGATATCTGCCAATGTTGAGTTGCCAGAGCTAGGCAGGCATAGAATACACAGGGCTATGCAAATGGCTAAATTAGAAGATGTCATGCTGTTGAATCTAGAGTTTCTCTCAATTTTATATAATATCCCGAAAAGTGGTTTCAAAAGAATGATATTTGCTTGGGGTAGTTGCTCTAAAAGACTGAACACAGAGACAAGTTATTTTAAAACAATAAATTTTACTCATGAAATTGTAAATATGAAGAAAGGGAACGAGTAATTGTATCTTATTCATGGTCCCCTGAGAATTAAATTGAAGGAGGAATGTGTCCTATAAATTATGCTTGAAATATCTCCCCAAAGTCAGAAAAAAAGAACAAATTTAATTGATACACACACACACACACACACACACACACACACACGTTACATAAATGCTGAGACTAAAAGCATGGGCCACTGTGACTCCCCAAGTCATACTTCTTCTTTCACAATGTCTTCTGTGTTGTGAACAATTGAAACCTTTCGTTGTCAGTCAATATGTTTAGTAAATGATTCTGTGGTATAGGATCTAATGTGTCTAAGCAAACATTATTCCTCTTTTTGTTGGTGTTGCTCAGGAAATTAGTGAATCATTACCTCTTCACTGCAGCTACTTTCTTCTCTTCATACACTTGGTCGAGGACACCAAGCCATTCCTCATATAGTCTAGATGTCAGCACACTTCCTGGTATATTTTTTAGAAACTCCTTACATACATAGAAAAAAATATTTTTGTGGAAAATATACATCACAGAAATTGCTCAGAATACTTTCAACTGTAAAATTCACTTAGTTCCAACTTCATTCTTAGTTCCCAACCTATACCCTAGTTGGAGCCTAGTCTGACATGTAGACCCACTATGTTTTGTCCATCAAAACTAGAAACCTAAGAGCAGATTTTTGGTAGAGCACACTGGCACACATTTAAGAGATCAATACCTCATCTCAACTCTTATGTTCAAATGACAAACATATGCATTACGGTAATTTCTTCATGATCAAGGACTTTTTGCTTCTCACTCTAATGGTTCTGAAACAAGTGATCTAACTGCATGGATGCATGTGCTCATAAGCAAAGGCTGGGTGAGCCTGGACTTTCTTTCATGTGCTGAGTTCTCCAAGAGAAAATGCTTAAGTAACATTGTTGTAGAATATTATTTTAAGGTGTGTTACTTTTGTTTATGTTGCATTTGTTTAACTCTGTGAAACTGTGTTTGTGCCTGTCTAAAACACCTGATGGCCTAATAAAGAGCTGAATGGCCAGGAGGGAGACAGGAGAGAAAAATAGGTGAGGCTGGCATGCAGTAAGAATACATAGAAGGAGAAATCTGGAAAGGGGTGTAGATGAAATTCTAAACAGTCTTAGTAAATAAGAAATGCAGAGCCAAATACAGAGATAAATAGCCAAAGATATCAGAGAGTCACAACTACTTTATCTTACCACCTTGCCAATGTTGCTTCCCCTGAGAGAGAGCCCTTCTTCCAGTGTGACCTGTCTTTTTATTGCCTTTCTATTCTGCCTTCTCATTGGCTCTAAACCCAACCACATGATGTCCTCATCACTGCCTGTCTATATAGACCTCCAGGTCTTTATGGTTGGTACTGGGATTAAAGGCTCTTCTCACCATGCTTGGCTGTGTCCTTGACCACACAGTGACTCTGTCTGTGGGGATTAAGGGCATGGGCTACCACCACCAGACTTCTGCTTAACGGCTTGCTTTTACCTCTGATCTCCAGGCAACTTTATTTATTAACATACAAATAAAATCACATTTCAGCACAAATAAAATATCACCACAAAGGGGAATATCAAGGAGCCAGAGAAGGATGAGGCCTCCAGGGCCTAGCCACCCAGCTACATAGCGAGCCAGGCAGTAAGAATGAAAGTAAGATATACAGAAGAAAAGAAAAGGCCCAGAGGGAAAAAGGTAGATGGGATAATTTAAAGGTAAGAAAAGCTGGCAAGAAATAAGCCAAGCTAAGGCTGAGCATCTGTAATTAAGACTAAGCCTCGTGTATGGTTTGAGAACTTAGTGCCCCCCCCAAAAGAGCAAAAACAACAATATAACATCCTCTAAGTGGCAGAGGAAATGGAATGTATGCCTTTGTATAGTGATTGTCAAATAAATATCACAAGACTGAGCAACAATATGGTTGCTTAAACAATATTCCTGAACAAAAATATCATCCTAAAATAGCACTAACTTGGGATGGGGAAATCTCATGAAGCCAGACTTCTAGATATAGAACTACAAACACATTAATACTACTGAGAGTGGAAAAATAAGTCTTCCTCAAAGATGAACCCCCTAATTGGTAACCCAATACCAATTGGTGGCTAAGAAATAGTGCATATACTGCTAACCATAAGTGGACTCATCAGGTAGTTTTAACATTTTTATGGATTTATATATACATATGTATGTAATAACAAAAATTAAAGAAAATGGACCCTGTATTTGAGAGGAAGTGGGAAGTTGATGGGAAACATGAGAGCAAGGAAAAGGAAGGAATGAAATGATGTAATTTAAGTTGAATTTTAATAGTAACATAAAAGTATCATTTTATGGGGCTGAAGAGATGGCTCAGTGATTAAGAATGCCAGCTTCAAAGCCATGAGGACCTGCATTTGGATCTCAACATTGCATGAGAGGGAGACAGGAAAATCATGGGATCTTACTGGCTATGTGTAGCCAAAGTGTATATGGAGGAGATGCAAGCTCTACTAAGGAAGAAAAACTCGCCTCTCAGAAAAAACTTAAGGAGTGACAGAGAATGATGAAAACTGGTAACAAAACACATCTGACTAGGCATGTACACAGGTGACACTCATATGCCTGTATAAAATGACCCTCCATACCCTATTATTATTTTGAAACCTGTTTTGCATGAGAACAGAGGAATAAAATAAAAGATACTTAGTCACATTACCCTTCACTGTGACAGGTTTATGCTTGAACCCTTCTGTTGTGAGCATCAGAGGAACCTTTGGCTTATCAGATTTCTATCAGTCCTGTCTACTGTCCTTCAAGAGTACACATGATGCAGGAAACTACTCGCACCGATTGGGAGGAATCCTGAGTGTAGAGGATGCGAGGACGCGCCCTACCTTTAAGATAGATGCCACAACAGGGACACTTTCGTTGTTCAAGTTCACTTCTGTCCCGGAATCCAGCCTTTCTTTTAGGGATAGGAATGCTCTTATTTTGCCAGGTGTGCTGAAGATGCCTTCAGTGATTGGCCCTCTTACACCAATAAAGGATAGTATGTCCTGAGAAAAGAAAGAGAAACACCTGTCACTCCACTGGCAGCACAGAGCAGGTGTTCCTTCTTCTTGAGAACCAGGCTAATGGTGTGCGCAGGTGCAATGCCAGAGCTGGCGTAGACGAAGAGGACCTTGACCTGGTTTTGTTGCTTCTATCTCCTGTTGTACCCACCCCACCCTAATGTTAACCCTGAGACCTCAGGCAATGTTTATTTTTAATCAGATTTCCCACTACAGTAAAGTGATTTAATCCAACTTTTCCAATACACAGTTTGTGGTGAATAGCCCTCTCTTACCTTCCTATTCTTAAGCCAATGATTTGATGCACACTTGTTTCTCCACTTGATGATAGAATCGAAGCGGGGAGGTATTTAGGAGAAGCAGGATTTTGTCCTCAAGGCAGCCAGAGAAGAACCATATGAAACCTACCAGAATTGCTGTGGGTAGATTGCCATCCTCACAAATGGCAGTCAGATCTTTTCCGAAGAGTTTTCCTGTCTTCACAACTGGCGGGGCTGTGCACACTTGGTCCTCATGGGGCACAGAGCCCTTGTGGAACAACCAGGATATGAAAGGCCGTCTTCTCTTAACTGTTGGCTCCTCTGTATCTAAAGAGGAGATGAGATCATTACATGGAGTAGTTTCATTTATGTAACCTTTGTCGCAGATTTCCAGTTTATAATGTACCTGGTGTAACGCATACAAAGAGGTTATCATTTCTGATATAAAATTCCCCACATTCTTAAGTTGGTTACTCATCCTGTCGTGTGTGTGTGTGTGTGTGTGTGTGTGTGTGTGTGTGTGTGTGTGTGTTCTTCTCTAGACTCTACACTGTTGTTAGTCTCAGAGACTTGATCTGAGTGTTCTTTGGTGGGAATTCTCACAACACAATGCTTTCTAGCCCCCATTACATCATGAGGTACTTGATAGCCAGTTGAACAAGCTTCCTGAGTTATACACCATCAGAGGCCTCAGCGGTCATTTCCTTTCTCACAGCCTCCCTCATTGGTATTCAGATCAAGCTGTGTTCTTGTCCTCCAGCGTCATAGTGTCCCATTCTTAGCTGTCTTGCTGAGCTTTTTGAAGAACCACTGTCAGATTTCTTTCCTCAGCAGCAGATGCCCTCATGAGGAAGTGTGCATGACTACGTTTGTCAGGCAGACTCTGGGCCCATGCCCCCATGTGTTAGTTCAAAGCTGAGATCAAAGTCTCTTTTCCTCTCCTGAGATTGCTTTTAGAATATTGGACCATAGTGAAATCTTAAAAAGTTACTACAAACAAATTAACAGTAAACAAAGGAGTCACAGAACAAAGCACAAAATATACAGTCTTTCTCAGCATACAATATACTGGTTGGCTTTCCAATACCAAATAGTCAGGCCTTAAAACACAAGTAATATCATTCAGATTGAGTAAGATGTGTGAGTGAGTGAGTGAGTGAGCATGTGTGTGTGTGTGTGTGTGTGTGTGTGTGTGTATGTTCATGTACACATGTGCTTATACATGTATATATGTAATAATTTTTTAAAAGACAAAAATTTGAAAGCAGTCTCAGTGGTATAAGGGAGATTTTGGAGAAAGGAGAGGAAAGGGGAAAATAATGAAAGTATAGTATAATTTGAAAAAATATTTAAATAAATTCAAAGTCTCCAGTATGTAAATATTAGGTCCATTTCCAGTTCAGACTCAGATCTAAAGACACACATAAAACATAGTTGTTTTGTGAACTGAAATGAGATTAGAGACTGGGCTCCAATCCTAAGGCCATTTCTACCCAAGTCCAGAACAGATGATCTCCCCTTCTGTACATGTAACTTTTCTGTATAACTTTCATTACAGGTTTGTCTAAGTGTAGTGATTAGGACATTATTTGCTGTGATCTTGAAACCACACAATGGTGAACATATGGGGACCCAGGTCTTAGAAATCATATTATAATGGGACCAAAGTTGTCTGCACACATGGTTATGTGTAGGCAGTATCTTGGCATACTTATGGTGACAATCTGCCTGGAAGAATAAAATGTTCTCCCTATGGACAAGCGAGTCTTGCAGCACTTAGAATTCTCTCAAGTCTGGCCTGGGGCATGTTGCTTGGTTTTTTATTTTGTTCCTTATTGTGCCCCTTTCCAAACAAGAAATGACACTATGCATTGATATTGTATGCAGACCAGAAACTGGAATTGAGAAAGGCCACTTGAAGGAAGGTCAGGGACTCACTGCTCTGCTTCTGGCTTCCTGCTGGGTCTGTGGGCTTTAGGATGAATCGCCCCTGTAGATCTGGTTGTTCCACATACAGCCCAGGCAGGGCAGGAAAAGCTGTGCACTTCCTTGATTTCCGTCGTCGTTGACTGACGTTACTTTGAATGTTTCTCATTATGATGTCATAGGGATGCTCATGCTCTATGAGAAGAAAATAGGAATGTGAGTTGAAACTGAGGGCAATGAATGTGAGCAAACCTGCCGATGTGCTTTAGCATGCACTGTTATATTGGATTTCTCCTTGTGCTTCTCGACCAAGTAGACTGTACACGCTGAGCATCAGGAGCCTCCCTGGGATGCTCTGATGAGGTAAGGATGTGTAAGCCAAGAACTCTAAAAACAGAAAACTTTCCACTTGTCACTTTGTTTGAAGAACATAGGCCATCAGCGCACTGTGTGGGGGACTTTTGCTGTGCTCCCTGTGACAGTTTTAAGGCCTGCTGGTTTCTGCCTTGAAAACACAGAAGCCTCCTGCACACAGCAGTTGTTTACGGCTCGAGGGGGCACGAACCTGGGATATGGGGCCTTAACATGAGGTGGATTAAAGTCTCATGAAGCAGCCAACTTTATTGAGAGCATTAGACAATTGGTACTCTGAGGGTGAAGAAGAGTCTCCTGAGCAAAGTGCACAATCACAAGGACAAGCTGCCCGTGGCAAAAATACTTTCCATAGAGGCTGCCGAGTAACAGCAGCTGACGTGAAAGTGAACTCACTCCTATCTGCTACACCTGGGAAGAGCACAAAATCACATGTCAAAACATTTCCATGTTTTTGATGAAACAGAAGTCACAAGACCATTGTCTTGGTCTTGTGGAGTTTTCTCACAAGCACTCAGAATTTCCCTCTCAAGACTCCATTCTTGGACTTTGCTCTGACAGCGACTGTGGGCTAGAACTACATCCACAAAATTGGAATTAATGTAGAGATGTTTTCTTTGCTCTCCCACGTTTTACATTTTTCTTCTCTAAAGGAACCTTAAAGAGTCTGTGCTGTGGTGTGGATATGATTTTCTGAGAAGGATGGAATCTTGCCCCTGTCCATTTCTGATTGATCACCAGTATAATTAAGCTCTTGCTTTGCCTTTCCTTCTGACACAGATACAGGGTCATTGCTACAATCAGATCAAGAGTTACAGTAACATTTAAATTAGTAGACTCTAGAAGCTTACAAGGGATCAATATGGAACAATCTAGTATGAGTATACTTACTTGAGTATGGCCTGTGGGTTGAAATACACATTCAAAATGAATGCTGAGAAATCAACAAGACTGTTCAGTTCTTGGGATTTCTGAAGCATCCATGATGTACAAAGCTCTTCCAAACCTTAGAATTAAAATATTACCAAGTTGACACCTTTCAGTAATTAAATATATTTTGTAATAAGCCCCCACATTTGTCTTATCATTGACTGAGAGCTGTCATTGTATCCACCTTATAAAAAGCAAAAGGACCAGACATTTTTGGCACATGTCTGTATTCCCAGCACTCATTTGATTGTGACAGTGAGGGTCAGGAGTCCCTTACCTGCCTGGGCTCCATATCAATACCCTGTGCCATAAAGAAGAAAATATCAAATATGTGGGTGGGTTATTTCCCCCATATTGCCCAGTGTACTAACCTGGAAAATAAGTATTTATAAAAATTAGTCTAGGGCTGGAGAGATGGCTCAGAGGTTAAGAGCACTGAGTGCTCTCCCAGAGGTCCTGAGTTCAATTCCCAGCACCCACATGGTGGCTCACAACCATCTGTGTACATTCTGTGTACATTTAAAAAAAAAAAAAGGAAAAAATTAGTCTGATTTCTGTACCTTGAGTAACCAAGAATGTCCCCACAGATTGTTCTCAGAATACATGAGAAAGGTTTGAACAACAAGGCAATGTAGTCTCACCTCCAAAAGACATCCTCACTGTTACTTGTCTGAAGGTCGCTACAAGTCTTAGAACATCACCTTTTCAGTATCTTTTGAAGGTCAGCCTCAGGAGCAGACTTGGTAATCTCAGATTTTTAATTTTTTTTTCTTTTTGGTTTTTTGAGACAGGGTTTCTCTGTGTAGCTTTGCACCTTTCCTGGATCTCAGTCTCTAGACCAGGCTGGCCTTGAACTCACAAAGATCCACCTGCCTCTGCCTCCCGAGTGGGAGGGATTTTTAATTCTTATCCAAATGCTTCAGATAAATCTCCTATTACTATTATCTATGTCTCAACAATCTTGTGAAAAATTCCAGAAAAATGCAACGTAAGGAATAGCAGGTGATTCAGTCAGGAAGGCTCCCAAAGTCTGAACAGAATATCTGCCATACAATGAGGTCATAGAGAGATGTGAACTGACTATATTTACATGGATTCAGAGAAATGGCTAGATTTCACATTTTCAGTCCAAAACAGAAGCTACATAGTTTGGAGTAAATAGAATATTCTTTAAAGTTTTTAAATTTCAGTTTTAGTTACGTGTGTAAGTGTTTTTTCCTCACATATATATCTGTGCACCATGTTGCACCTGGTGCCTGAGCAGGTCAGAAGAGGAAATCATATCCCCTGAAACTCGAGTTTTGAATGGTTGTAGGTGTTGTAGATCAAAACCAGCCCTTTTGCAAGAACAAGTTAATAAGTGCTCTTAATCGCTGAGATGTGTCTCTAGCCCCTAGTATTGTCTTTAGTCTTCCATGAATGAAAATTTAAATTTTTTTTTTATTTAGAATCAAGAAATCCAAAGTCTTGTTTTGTTTGTCTTTTTAGGAAAATTATATTTCTCAGGTGGAAATGCACAGGAAAATTCCAGGTTTTTTTTCACCAGCCCATAGACTGTTGCATAAAGAGATAGTATCATGTGACTGGGTTCTATTAAATAATTGGTAATTGTGAATTAAATGAATGAAATAATGTTTAAGTTATTTTCTTTTAATGTTGGTTTAACTTTAAGACTGAATGACAAAAACATTGAGAATTCAGGGTGAAAACATTGCCTTGGTCAGCCCTCTTTAGTTTTCCCTGTTACTTACCTTGGAGTAGGCTTGGGGCTTCTTGGAGGCCACGACAGAACCACAGTTGGTAATCTTGAGCACTCTGGGGGGTAAAAAGAACCAACCATCACAGATAATCTTTCACAGTGGATTCTTTAAGAATATCTTTCCTCACCATTTCCAGCTCTCCAGCAGGAAAATTATTAGGATCAGTATTAATGATGTGTCTTGTGACTACAGGTTTGAGTCATCTGCGATGATTTCAGGAAAAAACGCTTGGGTCTTGCCTTGCCTTTCTGATGGAGCCTAGATCTATTGATCCACAATAGAATGTAAATGACCATGGGATAAAAAATTACATTCAGCCATCAACACTTACCAAGAAAAAGCTTATTCCAAAATCTGTTACATCTGTTTGTCCACATGTGTGTGGAATATTGAACTTTGACATGAAATGCCCACACAACCTATTACCCAGAGAGCCACACACCCTCAGTGCCTATGATTTCTTGAGCAAAGTATCCTTTGAAAGATGTGGTAAGGTCAGCAAGACTGGGCAAAATAGACAAAAAACAGAGAGGTTTTTAGGATGCCTAGGAGTGAAAACAACTTTTGGCTTTCATTCAGAGATGTCCAATCTGTGGAGAGGAAGGACGTGTGTCTAACCTAGAAAATAGGCCAAATGCTGAAAACAAGCTCCACAACACAATTATTGTACACAGTGCTATGGATCCATTTGGAACAACCATCTAAATAGAGTATTCTGTTGAAATATTTAGCACCCTACTATAGTGGGTAAAGTAAAAATGTGCTCTTACTGGAGGTATCATTAATTGGACTTTATTGTTGATTCCAGATTAAAAACAACTGCACTGCCCTGTAGAAGTCTTAATTATTAAAACAAGCAGACATATACATTCAAGCAGATGAACACACCACTATCACCCACCCAACATACCATGAGAGTGAGAGAAAGAGAGAGGGACATAGACCCAGGGAGAGACAGAGACAGAGAGAACAACACAGAGAAATCATACAAACTCACAGGAGGTGATAGAGAGGGTCATCTACACATACAGAAAAAGATATAAAGATATACACAAAGAGAGACATAAATACAGAGACACATGTATTTTACACAAAAAAAGACAAAGTTAAACAAGGATATGTATGCAGAGAGAAAGAAGAACAGAGATAGAAATAGACACATACACATAAATATTAAGAGAGAGAGAAAAAAGAACATACCCAAACACATCCATCTACACCTCCACACACAGAGAAGTGAAAGAAGGAATGGGAGAGGAGAAGGAATTATATACCAAATATGAAGTACAATATAATCAAAAATAAAAAAGAAGAACATCATTCCTTCTATGATAGCCAGGCTTTAAATTTGATGTGTCTGTATGACCAAATAATCTCAATTATTTTTTACAATAGAAAATGCAAATTGTCTATGTAGACTAAAAGAATAGCTCAAAACCATTGAGCTATGAGTTTCATTTCACATGAACCTTAAACAAATATTCAAGAAAAATGTCCCTCTAAAATCTATCATTATATCTTAGATGCTTCAGTTCTAAAAGGAGATTGTAAAATATGATTTTTAAATTTATCATGATCAAGTGTCTTCTGTATATCTTTATGTGCACATTTGTACATATGTGGATCTCAAAAAAACCTCTCAAATTTAAGTCAAAGTAGCTTGAAAGTAACTTACAGGCATTCCTATCGTAGGTAGTAACTTCTTCATAACATCATTCACTGTTTCCAAGTCTGTTGTTGTTACATATAAAGGCTATAAAAAGTGCAGAGAAAATGCTATAAAATAACTTAAAAGCACACAATTAGTTATTGTCTAATCATCACTTACAATCTATGGGGTATAATGACAACTCTAATGTAGAATAAATATCTTGTTTTCTTCCCTTTATATACGATAATGCTGGAAGACTGTAAGTCTAACATATTTATCTTCAATTTAAGTACTTGGTTACTGGGTATTCAAACACAGCAGGTAACTGGTTTTTATGATAAAGGGGGACTGTGGAGCCATGGGTGCTGAAACTCAGTGTTGTGAATTTTTTTTCCTTATTGGGGGTGGGGGTTAAAAAGAGGGTTGATGCCTTTCCTTCCACCCCAGCTCTGCGTCCATCATGTTACAGCTTTATTTTCCTGCACAGCATGTGTGCAGGTCTAGGAAAGTCAGGATAAGAACTGGCTGCATCTTTTCTTTCTTTTCAAAATACCAATATGGATGAGCACTTTCTCCATATAAAACTTTGTAAATAGATAATATTCAGTGCAGTAATCTGTTGAGGTTATAAATTCAGCTACACTGAACCTGATAGAAGAGAAAATAGGAAGTAGCCTTGAAAGCATTGGCACAGGAGACCACTTGCTAAATATAATACCAGTAGCACAGACACTGAGAGCAACAATTAATAAATGGGGCATCCTGAAACTGAGACGCTTCTGTAAAGCAAAGGACACTGTCAATAAGACAAAACGACAGCCTACAGAATGGGAAAAGATCTTCACCAACCCCACATCTGATAGAGGGCTGATCTCCAAAAATATATAAAGAACTTAAGAACTTAAACCTCAAAATACCAAACAATCCAATTAAAAAATGGGCTACAGATCTAAACAGAGAATTCTCAGCAGAAGAAATCTCAAATGGCCAAACGACATTTAAGGAATTGCTCAACATTCTTGATCATTAGAGAAATGCAAATCAAAACAACTCTGAGATACCATCTTACACCTGTCAGAATGGCTATGATCAAAAACACTAAAGACAGCTTATGTTGGAAAGGATGTGCAGCAAGGAGAACACTCCTCCACTGTTGGTGAGAATACAAACTTGTACAGCCTTTTGGAAATCAGTATGGCGACTTCTCAGAAAATTGGGAATCAATCTACTTCAAGACCCAATGATACAACTCTTGGGTATATACCCAAGGCAAGTTCAACCATACCATCAAGGACACATGCTCAACTATGTTCATAGCAGCATTATTCATAGTAGCCAGAACCTGGAAACAATCTAGATGCCCCTCACCCAAAGAATGGAAAGAATACGTGGTACATATACACAATGGAGTACTACTCAGCTGTAAAAAACAATGGCATCATGAAATTTGCAGGCAAATGGATGGAACTGGAAAATATCATCCTGAGTAAGGTAACCCACTCAGAATGACAAATATGGTATGTACTCACTCTTATGTGGATACTAGATGTAAAGCAAAGGGTAACTAGGCTACAACCTACAGCTCCAGAGAAGCTAGGAAACAAGTAGGATCATAGAGGGAATCATGGATCGCCTTGGGAAGAGGAAATAGATGAAATCTCCATAAGTAAAGTGGGATCAAGGGGGACAAGAGAGGGGAGGGGATGGGGATGAGTACATGAGGGAATGGGATGGCCGAGCTAGGGGTGGAGGGCATAGAGTGGGAGAGCAATGAAAGCAATATCTTGATAGAGACAGACATTATGGGGTTAGGGAAATTCCCAGGAATCTACATGGACAACCCCAGCCTAGACTACTAGCAATAGCGAAGAAGCTGGCCTACCCCTGTAATCAGACTGGTGAACACCCTGTCATCATAGAGCCTTCATCAAGTAACTGATGGAAGCAGATGCAGAGATCCACAGCTAAGCAGCAGGCCAAACTCTGGGAGTCCAGTCAAAGAGAGGGAAAAGGGAGTATATGAGTAAGGGTGGGGGATGTCAAGATCATGATGGGGAAATCTACAGAGACAACTAAACCAAGCTCATAGGAACTCATGAACTTTAGACCAACAGCTGTGGAACCTGCATGAGACCAGACTAGGCCCTCTGCATGTGGGAGACCATTGTGTAGTGCTGAGGATGCTGTGAATGTGTTGCTCTGATTGATTAATAAATAAAGTGCTGATTGGCCAGTAGCCAGGCAGGAAGTATAGGCGAGACAAAGAGAGAGGAGAATTCTGGGAAGTGGAAGGCTGAGTCAGGAGACGCTGCCAGCCACCGCAATGAGAAGTAAGATGTAAGTTATTGGTAAGCCACGAGCCACGTGGCAAGGTATAGATTTATAGAAATGTGTTAATTTAAGATATAAGAACTAGATAACAAGAAGCCTGCTACAGCCATACAGTTTATAAGTAATTTAAGTCTCTGTGTGTTTGCTTGGGTCTGAGCGGCTGCAAGACTGGCGGGTAAGAGAGATTTGTCCTGACTTGGGCCAGGCAGGACCAGGAAAATTTCAGCTACAGTGTAGCTTGCTCTGTTTGAGGTGAACCTGGCAGTGGGATCAGGATCTACCCATGGTACATGAGCTGCCTTTTGGAGCTTACTAGCTATGGTAGGATGCCTTGCTCAGCCTAGATTCAGGGGGAAGAGGATTGGCCTGCCTCAACCAAATGTACCAGGCTTTGCTGACCCCCATGGTATCCTTTACCCTTTTGGAGGAGGGTTAGGGGGCTGGGTTGGCAGGAAGGAAGACTGGAGAGGAGCGGGAGGAGGAAATGAGTGGGGGATCTGTGGTTGGTATATAAATAAATAAAAAATTCTTAAATTAAAAAAAAATCTGTTGAGGTGATAGATCTAGGAATTCAAAAATGAAGATTTTAGAAATGAAAGCCTATCTCTTAATACTCTTAAGAAAAACAATGTGCTCATAGTATTAGCTCTTTACTGCCTCTCACATTTATAATCTTCTCCAAAGATCTAGGAAGACTGTGTAGGAAATAGAATGAAACCAATTGATAGGAATCTGAGCTGATAGCACTGATATAGTGGAATTCTAATAAATCTTTATAGAATATGACAATCAATAGATAGGTATAGTTTTATGCACATGGGTTCTACAATATCAGATATGTCTGCAATAAGGATTGTAGGAAGACTCTAGGAAACTGTCCTTTAAAGGAGAAAAACAGCACAGGTGCCCTCTCCCTAGCCTTAACAACATCACTGAAGCAAGGTGAAAGGAACCACACCATAAGCCACCTCTTTCGGGGCAATTTTATTTATTATCCTTTAACTGCTAGGCATAACTGACTAACTTGAAAATAAGTGTGTGTGCAGTGCTGAAGATTGATGCCAAACTTTACCGTAACATGCCAGGTTAATTGAATTTAATGAACAAGGACATCTTTCACTTGCTGATTTAACATCTTACTAACCATAGGCTAAGAAAGCATCTCAAAATCTGAAAGCAGAGCTCTGATCTTGCGGCACTTATGTGACTAGGAAGAGCCAATGGTTTTTGTTCAGAATGTAGAGTTAATCATCTCTGGCCAGAAAGATAGAACAGGGCTCAGAAAACATCAATGATGGAAGGAACTGGACAACCAACTCCTGCAAGATTTCTTCTTAACTCAACACCGGCACTTTAACACACATGCACACACTAGAACATCACACACACACACACACACACACACACACACACACACACACACAAGATATCTATCTATGTATATATACGTATATATATGCATATATATATATGTATATGTATATATATATATGTATATATATATAGAGAGAGAGAGAGAGAGAAAGAATGGTATCTGGGGTATCTTGGGAGTGGTGCAGGTGAGTTGGCACTGGATTTGTATACTTGCATGAAATTATGGAAGATAATTCCAGAAACCATCTACATCTATGTGTTTAAAAATATAAATAGTTTGAGGGATCTATGTTTAATTCTAAGAATTTTTTTTTAAAGATTTATTTATTTATTTATTATTTATACAATGTTCTGTCTGCATATACACTTGCTGGTCAGAAGAGGGCACCAGATCTCATTACAGATGGTTGTGAGCCACCATGTGGTTGCTGGGAATTGAACTCATGACCTCTGGAAGACTGGAAGAACAGCCAGTGCTCTTAACCTCTGAGCCATCTCTCCAGCCCTAATTCTAAGAATTTTAATGTGAAAATTAGGAGGCAAAATAGTCCTAAAGTAATAATAGCTTTAAAAAAAATTTCCCTAATTTGTACAAAGAAAAAAATTGCAGGTTTATTTTAAATGTAATGAAATACACATATGATTCAAAGAACTATCAAACTACACAAACTGGATAAAATATTGCAGGATAAAATATAAAAGCAACAGAATCTTGGATGAAAATTGGTAGGTAATTTTATTTTAAAAGAATTAGGTTTCATTTGCAATGGTGTCTTAAGGTATCAGGGAGATTTCTCGTGTGCAATACTGAACACTTGCCATGGCTGAAATCAAGCAAGCAGGGACAAGAGAACATTTCCCTACTGGTCATGTTTGTTCTGCTCTGTTCTGGTTCAGCAAAGCTAGCTAGATGTTCTCATTTCTCATGATTTACATTACAGGCTAGAAATTACTTTTATACAACACTTCTCTTAAGGACTCTTGTGTATGATGGGGACCTGCTATGCAGAACCAATTGCTGCATGATCTAAACTATCTTCATCAGACACACCTTGGTTACCCGAGTTCAATTTCAACAGTGACACATTAGAATATTGACTCTAATGTTTTTTGTATAAAAGTCGGAAAGGTGGCAATCCTTTCAGCTAGATTCCATCCTGTTTTTATAGTAGGAAAGGTTTTTTCAGTGCTCAGCATTATACGTAATAGCTAAATTGCTGATCTTCAGTGAATCCAGTAGTGGAATGGGAACAAAAATAGAAAAATTAAAAAAACAAACCAGAAAAACAAACAAGTATATTAATAGACATGGGTGTAACTCAATGACAGAACAATTGTCTAGCATGTATGAAGTCATAAGACTTATTTTAAAGACTACACACCACATAACCTCCCTCTCTCTCTCTCTCTCTCTCTCTCTCTCTCTCTCTCTCACACACACACACACACACACACACACACACACACACACACACTCACACAGCAATATTAAGTGTCTAATGATGGATTCTCAACTGAAGTTCCATGAAAGGATGTCCTTATGCCTTGAGATTCACATGTGATGCAGCCGTTCTTCAAAGCACGTGAGAGAACACCCAGTGAGAGATAAAGAGAAGGAGCAGGAGACAGGTTCATAGAGGTCAATTGTGATCAAGCAGGTGAGTATGGAGAGTGAATAAAATTCTTGATAATATTTTGCTTAAAATTTGTTTATGATAATCTCCTATGATTATAATAATTTATGATTAGACAAATATTTTAAAAATAAATAAGGAATAGTATAAACATCACATAAGTCTCTATGTAAGCAATAAGGACTGGAAAAAATTTAATTGCAGTAGGAATACTTAGCTTGGAAATGTATGTTGTTGGAACTACCTGAGTCAATCTTCAGTCATATAACCAAAAATTATTTCTTTTGTTTTAGCACTGTAGCTAATGTAGATCAATCTTGCTTCATGTTGCTTTCCACATATCACATATGAAAGACATGTATGCATGGCATACACATATCCCTTTTCAACAAAATACTACCTAAATCTCAAACTCTCTCTCCCCTCCACCCTCTTTTTATGTCCCCAACTTCCATTGCTCTATAAACTGCATGTCTCTCCTAGTCATGAACTTTGGATGTCATTTTTGGTTTTATATTCACATACACTGGCACAGCTTGGGATGTCCTCGGTGAATATCGGGAGTTTAACATGCTTCCTGTAGCCCTTTGTGGCTTCATTAATGGATCTGTTCAAATGCATTAAAACACACAATACAGTAATGAATTTGTTAATATCTTATTTTGCACTAGTCATTGTCAATATTTTACCAATACCATGTTGGTTTTAAATAAAAGACTATCAGATCAGCAATATGCATTATAGATTAGGGAATGTTCAAAAATATTTCAGCAACAAAGACATGTTTAGGTAATTGTAGAGACCCACAAAGGTTTCCTATTAACAACTTATGCAGTGTCTGAGAATCTGAGCTTGCTTTACCCAGCAGGGATGCATAAGGGAATGATTTGACCATGGGTATGGTTACCAGGTATTTGGAAGGGTCTACAATGGGCTGTGTGGTGTGTGTTGATCTAGAAAGGGGGAGGTCTTTTGCCCTGCTTTTTGGTATTGTTATAAAAAGCCCTTTTGAAGAGCCAGAAGGGGCTGGTGGGTTTTGATCCAGGTCCTCCCGAAAATATCCTGTGTTTCTGTCTTTCTCCTCCTCACTATCTTTCTATCTAAAAGTTTCTTATCCCTCTCTCCTCCTCACAGGAACCCTTTAAAAGGTGGGAGCTGGACTCCCACAGATTGGCACCAGAACTAGGGACTTGGGTGCAGAGGAAGTAAGTAGGGGAGAAAGAACCACGGAAGCAGCTGGACATGTCTGGTTTTGTATTAATGTTAAAGGCGGTGGTATTTTATTCTTTGAGAGCAAAAACTGTATACAGCAAGTATCTCTCTCTGTCTAGGTTTCTCTCTCTCTCTCTCTCTCTCTATATATATATATATATATATATATATATATATATATATATATATATATATATATATATATATATTTCTATCTATTAAATTAAGAAAAAATGTAGGGTTTAGGTATAGGAATATTGTGTAGGAAGAAACTTAGGATAAGAGTAGAATTTCCATAGTGCCGGACCTGAAAACAGCGTCCAGGAACAAGCAGCCACTGCAGATTTCGCAGTCTGAGGAGAAAAGCTGCTATAGGGCAGGGAAATAGGAGGCAGATGTTTGTATACTCGTTTGTAGAGAGTTTGAAAACTAGGGGAGTTAAGGTAGAACAGCACAAGTACAGAGGTTCTTGGAGTTCGTAGAGGAGCCGTGTCCTTGGTTTTCTGACTATGGGACTCTGGATGCAGATTCTAGGTGAAGACTTGGAGTCGAAATGCAAAAATATTATGAGGAACATGGGCTGGAAAAAATTCCAGTGGAAGCTTTTAGTCTGTGGGCATTCATTCGGGACAGATTAATTAGATCTACATCCTGAGCAGCACGGGAGGAGTTTTCCTGAGGCAGATACAGGCAGAACAAAACCCTCTGCTCTACCAGAGCTGCCTGTCGATGAGAATGCTTTTACAACATCACTCAATCAGGGTCAGTTCCCTCTTGAACATGAAGCTTGGTTTAAGGAACAGAAGTCTTGGGATTGGACAAGGGAAGAACTAAAGTGCTTGGAAAACTTCATAATTTCTCTTTCTCAAAAACTGGAAGCTCTTCAGGTCTCTGCTTCTCAGAAGGGAACTTCTGGGGGGGGTGGCGGTCGTCTATCAGAATGGCAAAGTCACCCATAATATTAATGAACCATGGTTTGGTGAACCTAAGGAAGTCTTTAGGTTTGATGCAGTTGCATCAGGAGTTTATCAATTTATTTGATGCCTTTGCATCAAGAGTTTATTGATTTAAAAAAGGGCTTAGCACAGCTAAGGCTGTTATAAACATCTTGACCCATACAAAAAGGACATTCCATCTTGGTCATCCTCTACTCCTTTCCTGGGGGTGTGTGGCAGCCATAGGGATTGCTGTGGTTATTAGAACTACTTGCAGCTCCTAGTAGGGACTTGAGTCCGAGCTGAGTTAAGCTTTGTACTTCCCCCTTCCAAAGGCTGGTATTCAGGGATGGGTAAAGTTCTTCTTGCTAGCTGCTAACGGATGACAGAGTGTGCTTGATGGAAAGTGTATCTCCATGATGGGTAAAGAAGATTAGTAAAGAAGGACAACCTAAGGCAGGCACAGTCCATCTGAGGGGTCTGAGGGGCCCTTTAATGTATTAAGAAGTGGGAGCAATAGACAACCACAGAGGTTTCCTAGTAAGAACTTACTCAGGGTCCAAGAATTTGTACTTGCTTTACCCAGCAGGGCTATGTAAGGGGATGATTTGACCACAGGCATGGTTACCAGGTATTTGGAAGGGTCTACACTTGGCTGGGTGGTGTGCTTTGATCTAGCAAAGAGGAGGTCTTTTGCTCTGCCCCTTGATACCATTATAAAAGTCCCTTTTGAAGAGGCAGAAGGGATTGGTGGATTTTGATCCAGATCCTCCCGAAGCTATCCTGTGTTTCTGTCTTTCTCCTCTTCACTATCTTTCTATCGAATATTTTCTTATCCCTCTCTCCTTCTAATAGGAACCCTTTAAAAGGTGGGAGATGGCCTCCCATAGGTAATAGCACATTGCCCTAAGATGTGATTGTGGAAGCATATCCAGTCCTCAAAATGACAGGAAAGGGCAGGAACCTGCTTAATTTCAAAATTGGAAGCAGCAAATGGTTTGTGTGTGGATGATAGTGTAACCTGTATTGGTGGGAGTTTAAAATAAGTCTGGGAGTACAGTTTACCCCAATATATAGATTAAAGAGGAGATGATGAAGAGCATGGCAAGCAGGACTTTCTCAAAATTAAACAAAATATGCATATTAACAGGAGAGAATGAAACAGTAGTCAGGGATCATCTAATCAACACCACATTTGGAGACAATCTATCAGATTACATATATTATATATACATATATATATTTATATATATTATATATGCATGTATATATATACATATATCACAGACTACCATTCCTATATTCCTATACCACCAAGGAATTAAAATATGAATACTAGTAAAATACCTTTGGAGATAAAAATACCACCAATCTTTCTGTTCCATGGAACTGTAATATAAAAAGTGAAAAACAAATTAGACTCTTGAAACACTTATGCAAATATTTTTAAGACATATTCCTCATAAAAAATATTATAAGCCAGTTGTCATCGATGAGAGTGCAGGTGTAGGTGGCATTCTCCATATGACTGGGATTCTGATTGACCTGTTATTTCACTGGAAATCTTCCGTGACAAGAAGTTTACTATAGTGTGGAGGCTGGCTGTGCATCTCACTACTTTTATTTCCCCTTGCCCACATTCCTGTGCCATATATTGTTTTTCCATTCATAAGTTTAATATGTGAGTTGTTTCCACATTCTGAATATAATGATCCATGCTGTGAAGAATATTTGTTCACAGACTTTTCTTCTCCCTTTTTCAATGGTTCTACATCCATGTTTGGAGCTGCATAGTCACATGGAAATTCCATGTAACTTTCTGTGGAACTATGGACTGATTTTTGCCCAAAGACCAACACATTTCATGTTTCTACACTTACCTGCTCATCCACTTTATATTCTGCCTGCAACCAGTTTCATCAGAAGGGTGGACTGTGCCTGTGATTCCCACCCTTCACATGTACATAGACTGTTGTCTACGTAATCATCTAATGTCACCAGTTACAAAAGTGACACAGCAGGAATTTTAAGACACTTAGTGATGTGCTGGCTGAAGACACTGATACACATTCAACTGAATGTGAACTAGTCTAAATATGACTTCCGAATTTCACTCCTTCATGAAAAGAAAAGTTTAATGGAAATGCTGTCATGAAACTCTTCATAAATCCCTGAATACAGTACTTCCTCTCATATTCAATGTGGGAGAAACACTAAACATTAACTATAGATAATCTTCAGGAATATTAACAAGGGGAAAGAGTGTATTTAGAGAATGACACAAAGATGATCTTCTTCCTCAAAGAGTTCTGTGGAAATGTTTTTCTCAGGTAAAGATCAAACTCACAGAACCAGAATGTTTATAAAACCTGCAATTGCTTATGTTAGTTGAGTAAACTCTGGAATGAGGCTAGAAGTTTGGACAGAGTAATGAGGAGAGTCCAAATTGGGGGAGGAGGGGGGTTGTATATGATGAACTCTTCGTGTGAAAAAGAAATTTAAATGCCGCTGTATGCTTTCCCACAGCAGGTATGTGCTACACTATCCCTGTGATTCCAACAAATGCACTCAAGGTATTCTTGGTACACTATGATCAGATCCTCTCATGAAAGATAAGAATGTGAATTCGACATTTACCTGCACTCCACACATTAACTCTGACTCTGATGGTCTAATGACACTGGTCCTCATGTGTTGACTATAGACACCAATGATACTCCACTACACAAACACTCAAGAATCTGAGCTTTTAATGAGTAACTAGGTTTATCTGTACGGTTAAATACTATATTTTTCTTAGGAAATTAACTTGGGAGTGTAGGAGGTAATTTTCAAATTTATACTACACAATACCATTGGAGTGAGATCAGTTTGTGTACTTTCAAAACCCAGAGAATATCAGATCATTTGGGGAAGAAGAATGTGGGGAATGGAGTAAGGCTTTGTCCTGTCCATATCCTTCAAAGAACAGGATGATCTCATTTATACCCCAAGGATGTTGTGGAGTCCTGATGAACATCACAGGTGAAAATCTAAGCAGTCTAGTTCCATGAAGAAATGTGTGTGGTGGAAAGTATAAACTAGGTTCATCATGGGAGGAAAAAACTTGAGTTGGCAGCCTGTATACAATCAGACTAACATGGTTTCTTAATCTGTAAACATGTTGGTTCATTGATTTGATTTTTTCCCCTGTGAATTAAACAGCATTAAGTTGACCCACAATTTCCACAGCCAGCCTCTTGTGAACAGAAGTCCAAGTTGTAGGTCTTACCGAAAGGTTGCCACAAAATTTCCCATGGGCCAGGACAGGAGAATCGACTTGCAAGCAGAGCTGTTGTCTGTCCCAACTATGTCCACATAGTCACCCATCCACAGATAACTCAGTGGGATGACATATTTCATCTTAAAATTCCCCTTACACCTAGAGAGAGAATCAAGGCATCTGTTAGCTTGCTTTTCATTGTAGTTGGAATTACTTGTGGTAAGACCCAGTTCTTCCTGCTCCAGAGCAGAGAAGGACTCATCCATTTCTATCATGCAGGCAGGCTCATGCCATGGAAGATGCGCCTGAGCAAAGCCTGTGCTGAAGGAAGTTATGAGGTTCACACTTTTTGATGGCCAAGAATAGCCATAGTCTGGTCTTTTTTTTTTTCCTGATTGTTGAGTGTTTAGAATGACCATACTGTGTATTTTAAAGACATGGCATTTTTAGAAAACCATGTGCTTCAATATTTCTCCCCTCTATTTAGTTAAGTGCTAAACTTTTCTGCTTGTTTATTTCCATAACTTCAATACCAAGAAAATTAGCTAAATGTTTTATATTTTACTTAAATAATTATTTAATGGTCATTTTCAAATACATAATATGGAAATATTGACTAACTTAATAAAATTCATATTCTGTTCTCCCTCTCCCTGTCCTAGCAAGTCATGTGAGGAATTGCTGAGGACAGTCTGAGCTCAGTACAACTGCTCCTTTAGTAAACCCATGATGTGTTTCTCATACAACTAACCACAAAGAGGATTCTGTTCTTCAATAACCTAGTCAAATGGTTACAAATATGTCTTCCCACCAAACCTTCTGATGCTATCAAAAGTGTTCTTGAGAAACAATTGTCTTGGGAGCATTCTTTATTCTTTTTATATGGAGCTTGTTCTTTGATAATTTCACATGCGCATTCAATGTGTTCTGATTATTTTCTATTACTCTATCTTCTTTCCCTTCTATCTCTTGACCACTCTCCTTCCCACACACACACTTTTTTGTATTTTTTTAATGGTTGACTGTGTTTTACCCGGGGCATTTTTTGTGTGAACCTGGGTATGGAACTCCCCATTGGAGACTAGTGAGCTAATAGGTAGCTACATAATTGAAGACTATCATTTGCTCTCTCTCTCAGATTCCATTTGTGAAGTAGATGGCTTCTACTTCACAATATTAACCACTGATGACTAGAAAGTTTACCCCCAAAACTGAATGAACTGTTGTGTTGATGCCTGTCCTTCAGTCTACTTATGTATTTATGAGAAAACACCCTTAAACTACTTACTTGATAAAGTCATTACCCATTTCATACCTTTCAAAGTAATATGAAAGCTATGATCCTCTGGACAGGTGATCCCAGAAAATACCTCCACGGTTCTATGTGACAATACCACCATGTATAAAGCTTCAATCACAGCAGTTTCCTATGTCATCCACACAATTACCATGCTGGACCTAGTTGATGTCTGCAGCTTCCCCTGATTGGTTTAGGGATATTAGCTGTTTCTCATCTCTTCACACTACTTTGGAAGTTATGAGCTCACAGAGGTTCACATGTGTGGCCCCTTATGAGCAACCATCATAATCAGGGATTTCCCCTCTTGCCTCTATTTGCAAACACCAAGCAAGAGGGACCCTGATTATCATGTTTTTAATATTTTACTTTGAGAAGATGTCTCCACAAGATCCACAAATTTGTGAACTCATAAATCAGCTTCCAAAGAGCTGGAATTGCTGGTATGTGCTACCACACCTGCCTCCTTTTCAAGTTTGTTGCTATTCTTTTCCCAGGATCAAAGAGCAAAACAATTGGTTACCCAATAGCATATAGACAGCCCTGAAAACACATATACAAGTGTCTAATGTATATATAGTTAAAACACATATGTATTGTATATATACATACATATATTTTAATTATATATATATATATATGTATATATATATATATAACAACAATTAATAAAAAAGAAGCCATGATTTTCAAAGAGAGCAAGAGGGGGAATATGGGAGGACTTGTCAAGTGGAAAGGGAAAGGGGAGATGATAATGAAGTATTTATAATCTCAAAAAATAAAAGAGATAAATAAGACTTTTGTGGTTTTTAACAATAAGGCCTAATCAAAGTGTAGCCTCTCATAGTAAGGAAGGCACAATGCACATACTCACAGGTTATTAGATACAATCAAAACATCACTGAACAAGGAGAGATGTTGTTTCTTCCTTCTCCAGCCTCTTCTGAGTTCCACGGGGCCTTGGCACAGCAAGGTTCGATGTATCCCTCCCATGGCTTTCTCCTCAAGGGTTTCCATGTAGGAAAAAAAAGGCTTCTCCTGGTCCAGATCTCCAACTAACAGAACAGGTATTCAGTGGCTGTTAATTTATACCTAATTTCAAAGGGTGAATGATATTAAAACACAGGTTCAGTTCTCCAACAGGACTCTGTTGAGTTATCAACAGTTTTAAGGTTGCTTAGGAAAGGAAGCATTGGGAACAGACTGCAGGAGTGGGCTCTTCCAGAAGTTATCAACTTAGGGGCCTGGGAACAGTCTGAACAAGGGTAGCTGGTAGGGTCTAGAGAAGTGGTTCTCCACCTTTCTAATGATGCATCCCTTCAGTACAGTTCTTCATGTTGTAGGGACACCCAACTGTACAATTATTCCATTGCTACTTTGTCACTGTAATTTTGCTACTGTTATGAATCCTAATGTCAATATCTGACATGCAGAATATCTGATAAGGGACCCCAAAGGGGTCACTACCCGCAAGTTGAGAACCACTAATCTTGAGTGAGGAAAGGGCTGAGTGATGTAATTCTATCTTATTTTAAATCATTTTTAAAATTGAACAATAAAGATATCAATGATTAAAAAAAGAATTTTGATTTACCAACATTATTCATGATTATAAATAAAGTAGTAACACATTGCAAGGCATGCTATTGGAGAAAAGAAATATTCACACACTAGAGGGATTCACAGGAAAGGAGAGATCAATGGCTAACATTAAATGAGGGCTGAAGTAGGTGACTCCTGAAAAATGTCCATTGGAGTAGCAACTTGGATGTCATTGCCAACCCTAACTGCAATAATATGTGTGCAATAATAGGAGGAATTCTTGTGCAAAACCTTGTGAACTGCAGATTTATCCCCAAAGACTCTCAATCCTAATTCTTTTAACCTATCAAAGGTCCATGTGATAAAAGCAGCATGCAGACATCGTTAACACTGTGAACCTTAGAGTCTAACAGATGCAAGAATCACAGGAGACTTTATAGACGAATGTGCCTTAGCGAGACAGTCAGAAAGCTGCATGCACAGGTGAGTCAGGTAGCTTTGGAGACTATGGAGGAGAGGTACATGCTTAGAAGAAGTAAAGCCTAGAGGCACAAAGGATTGTGACTGAAACAACCTGGAAGATGCTGTGTAAATCTCATAGTTCATTATGTAGTATACCTTGGACACATAATAATCATAGAAAGATCATGCAAAATTAGAATGCCCATGTCTTTAAAATGATTTAATTTTGGTGAGAGTAATAAATTGTACCTTCTGAAAACTGTGTGTTTTCACTGATATGTGTAATTATATAGTACTAATTAAGATAGCAAAACTCTACCAAATTGTAAAGTTCTTTATAAAGATTTTCTGCTGTGTAATTCTATTTGAAAATGACTGATATGTTGGAGTGTGGTAAAGAAAACAAATAAGAAAGTAATCTATGTATTGAAATGCCATAATTAACCATGTGAAAGAAATTTAAAAAAAGTTTTTCCTAATGATTTAAATAAGTCAGGTCTCAGGGAGCACATATATCCAGACATGTCAGTCTTTGTCCAGCGCAACATGGACTATAGAAGGATCTCTGGTGGTGAGAAAACAACAAAACAAAAGAAAACAAAAAAAAAAAATTATCATGCATCCAGAATTTATAAAATGGTTCTTGAACAGCAGGAGTCATTTCTCTTGCCTCTGTCAAAAGGGGCATATGGCTCTCCAGTGACCTGTGGCTTCTATTAACACCCATGATGCCTTCCAGGTTCCCTGTGTCTCGATTCAAAATTACTTACTAAATATCTCACAGCCGCATCTACTTTCCTGTCCCTTCACAACCACCCCACCTCCTTCTGCACTGTACAGACTCCCAAAATGTTCTAGAACTCCCCTTGCTCTCTTTAGGAGGTCTAGGTATTTCCCCACTGCCCCAGCCATCTCCACTACTCTCTTTTGCTATTCTCCCTTCTCTCACAGACTGTTTTGGTCACATCAAGTCTGTTTCTTTTTATTTCTGCTCTGAACTCTTGCAGAAGCCTCTGAACATTCTCTCTTATCCACAATAAAATTCTTCCCTGTAATTGTGGAGCAGCATTTTCAGTGGTTTCTTTACTGTGCCATGCTCATACAATTTAAATATTCAAAATATATAGTTCTTGAAGTGAATATTACTCTTCCCAAGACATATGTTATCTCTTTCAAGAAATATGCACAGAAACACCATAGCTTTCATTTAGCGTTAAGATACCTGTGAATCAAAGCATCAAAGAGAGAATCAAACAGCCAATGGTTGTCCTCACACGTGTCAAGCACATGTCCTCACACATGTAAAGATACGTTAAAAAAATAGTACCAACTCAGTTTCAGGATAAACAAATTTGAAAGTAAATGACATGTTTGGAAAGTCATTCCTGTCTAATCTGAATCAATGTTAAAATATAGGGAAATAGATTCTAAGGAACACAATATATGTTGGAAAGCATAAAAACTTGCTGAAAACCAGAGAGTTTTTATATTTTGGGTTGAAATCTGATTATTTACAACAAACCTTTGTGGTCATAGTGGGTAAAACAAATAGAGGGAGCAGAAAATAAACATCTCTCATTACTTGGACCGATAATTTTGTAAATTTACAGATACTATTCTCCTGTGTAGCCTAGAACATACATCCCCTGACAAGATAACCATATTTATTTAGGGGACTGGGAGTGAATATTACTAACATGGGTAGCTTTTCATGAAGCCATAGCTAAGTTAAGAATTAGCTCACATGATCTGCAGGAATCAAAACAGAATACTTCTTCATACCATTAGTTATCATGAGAATCAAAACTACTTATTAAAAATACCTTTACAGTGGAG